AATTCAACCTAATGTTTACTTTACTGGGATTGCATAATCAAAGCCGCAACGGCAACGGCAAATATGACTGTAATTGTAACTCCTTCATCAGCAAGCCGTAATGCAAGTGCAAAGTCTAGGGTGCCGTAGGCGCTCGTCGTGGGCCAACCATAACAAGAGGAAAAGCTGGGTAAGTGTGAAACTATGTATTCAATAATTTATTCCAACTTGTTTTGGAGCTTGTTGCTTGCTTAGTTTTCACTTAAGAAGAAACATAAATCAGTTGACTGCAACTTGCTTTAATTGTATGGTCAATTGGTGTTTGCTTTGCTATACTGTTAATTGAATTGTATGCTTAATCAGTTAGAAACTATTTAAAAGTGATGTGTTTGCTTTAATTAGTCAATTCCACACGTAAAGTCGAACTAATCGGTAACTTAAAACGTAAACTTGGTAAAACTAAAATTTGAATTGGTGATCATGGTGTCCCGCAAACTTTCAAACATTATCACAGTATTCTAGGCGAGACTTTTCACATTCAATTTCTTGCTAAAATAATTAAGACATATGCACTTTTCAAGAATTTCAAAGATTACTTGCTCTTGCGTGGGTAATTATTAGAGTAGGAGAAGTCTAAATTGGCAGAACACTGGTTCAACGACATCTAATTGTTGGATCTGAGTTCCAACTAAAAAATACTTTTAAATATGTAGAACTTAGTATTCCCTTGATTATCTTAAGTTGAATTCAATATTTATTATCGAAGTTTTTTTTCTAACAGGCCTTCTAATTCTTTTATTATCATATTCGGGTAATTGACACAAAATTACTCTATTGTTTTTATATTTTGCACAAAATAATCATATTCTTTCATTTTGGCACAATACTCCCGTCAAAAGTCAAATCTAGCAAAAGTTGTGGAAAACAACCTTGTCTTCTATTTTCTCCATTAAAATCTTGTGAAATGATGAATTTACACTCCCTTGAAATAAGCAAAAAGAAAGGAAAAAAATTTAAAAAATAATTATAGACATAGTCCCAAAATTTTCGAAAATGCAGAAGAGCCTCAATTAAAAATAATTAAAGAAATAAAAAAATCTCAACCTTTATCTCAATTTTTGCAACTCCTACGTTTCTCAACAAACAATCAATTAAGTACACATAAGCAATCGATTAATTCTTTAGCTTGTCTCTAATTTATATAGAAATCATGTATATTCAATTATGAAATTATTTGTATCGAATCTCTATCTGCCTAAATTTCTCTCTTCACTTATTACATATTTTAGAAATTCTAACTGGTTTGACTTTGAGGGATACATAAACGAGCTATATATTTTTGTAGAAAAAAATAATATCCTAAATATCAATCTTTAACTTATGCTAAGTACTCGTGATGACATATCAAATTAACTAATTAGTCAATTATTTAATTTTTGTGACCAATTATGAACCTATTCACAAACTAATAATGTGACGTGACATCAATGTTTAGTATAAACTAACTATTGGTGCTCAAGAGGTCATTTCTTTATTTTTTATGAGAATAGACCTCAATCAATTTCAATAAATCAAATTCAAAATAATTTAACTATTTACCTTTGTTATATCAAAATATACAAATATTAAATTTTCACATTAGCAGCTAGGAGACTTGATGAAGATCTTCCAATATCGTTCCTATCGAGGCCTTGTTGTACCAAATGTCGAATTTGTTTGTTCAGCAAGGACAATATATTGACTCATACAGTTCGACGGGCACTCCCATTAGTGTCCCACGGTATACCATAGTAGATAACTTGACCCTTGTTGAAACTTTAGAACTTGAAAGTCTTTTTTTTTTTTTTTTGTCAAGATCCTACATATCAAATCACCAAGAAAATTAATTAATGCGGAACATACCTTAATTCATTGGGAATGATTCTTTATTACTGGATTTCGATTCCGAATCTTGAATACTACTGGAATCTTTTCATGTTTGGTTTCTTCACTTTTAATCTTGAATTTTACCTTCTTTGATTCTTTAATTGTTGTGCTTGATTTTACTTCTTGATCCATAGATCTAATTCTTGAATTTTTTTTTCTATTGAATTTTTTTTTCTACTCGGTTTTTTATTCTTGATCTTGATTGTGGGTTTTGGATCTTCATCTTCCATATGTTTTCGTTTGCATTCTTGTGTTGATGGAATGACACAAAGAATAAGAATTACATATGAATTGAGGACTATAACATACGTCCATAAGTATTTCACCCATCATGAAATATAATTTTAAAGGAATCTGGTCTTTATATATATAATCCCGCCACACTTTATTTAGATGTCCTAAGTCCATTGATTTAATTTTTTTTTATTAGATCACTTTAATTAGGCTCAACTTTAAGATAGCATTATACACATTACATATGTAAGTTTACATAACAAAAAATAAACCTAACAATCTTCTACTTAGGCTATATATGTTACCCTATAAATGTTGTTAGGTTTTAATGTAATTGGCAATTCTGTGGAAAAAAAAGAGCAAATTGAAAAAGTGTAAAAGTCGAGGAGTTAGGTACAATTTTGTGTAGTAGTCGCCAACACACTGCTGGAAATAAGGAATAAAGAGTCGTTGCAATTTCATTTGCCCCTCACCAACACATTGCTCGTACGATAAAAAACAGAATAGACTTCGCTAGCTTGTCGCCAGGACCTTGCTCGAGAAAATACATTTGCTCGCTCTTCGTTGGACTATCGCTCGAGCGACAGTGGATACCAGAAAACCCTAATTTGCGATTTCCAAGAATTTTAACAATACCATACTATCAAAAACATCTTTTGTATAAATACTTGGGCCGTTTCACGAAAAACCTTGGATTGTTCAATGTGAGAAAAAAATCAAAACAAAAAATTGAGATTGGCAATTGAAAACATCAAAACAAAAAATTCAAACACCAAAAATCAAAACTTCAAGAGTATCTATCAGATGTTGAAGATCAAGGAAGCTAATCGGTGTTCCAATTGCTGGAGAACAAGGAGTTCTCGGGAATCGACAAGAGATAGAGAGAATTAGAAAGCCAAGAGTTGGTGCAGGAGCACGCAATCCAGGAGGCTTTGAGAACTACAATCAAGAGGTCAGAGAGTACTAGTGTTGGTCAAGTTTGGCGATACTGTAGGTTGATTCGTTTATAGTGGATTCATACTGATTTGGGCTTAGAGTTTTTAGTCCAGTGAGGGGTCTCCTTTGTCATCAAATATCCAGTGTTATTTATTCTCCTGCAATTTATTAAATTGCGACAATTCAACATAGGGTAAATTGCATGTGAATTTATCTGGACTAATTAAGAATTGTAAAGTGTTACAATTGTTAATTAATTTGCATAAATTTCGAGCAAACACTTATTCGCCCCCTCTAGGTGTTATTTGGATCGAACTACATAACTTTTAAATGTGTATAATCTTATGACGTAAAACTTTTGTTATAACAACCAAAAAATCTCCGAACAATCTCATCAATCAATTATGTCAATATAGTATCAAAGTGGTCTTTGTTATAAGTAACATATCTAAACCAATTAATGGTCATGCATATAATCACAATCAAATGACATAAATCAAGTGCGAATGTGTAGCATGAGAATTACATGCAATGTGATCCAAACATGCATAGTTTCAATTGATCATACCTTATTCTTTAATGATATCAACCATAAACTTTAATCGGAGTGGAACTAAACTGAACATTTTATTTCTAGAATAAACCAAATATCCATGAATAAAAATATGTGTCGAAAACTGACAACATTTGAACACAAACTCCCACAAAACTGATATATCATCAAAAAATACAACACACATGTAAGCATTATACTCATGAAAGACTTTGGGTGGCAGCCATTTAGTAAATGGATCCATAATTATGGAGTTTGTGCTAATATGTTTTATATAACTTGACAACTCTGAATTCTTTCTTTAACAATTAGAAACTTAATAGCTATAAACTTTGACATCATCATATTCATGTTAGAATACAAGACTATTGTCATAGAATAACTAAAGTGGTCTTTCAAATTCATTCAAAACACACAACCTAGTGACAATATTTTGGCAATCATATTCTATGATCAAAAGCGGAATAACCAATGATCTCCAATTGGTCTATTTCCTTGAATGTGATCACATAATTCTTAGTTCTCGATAAATACCGAATAACCTAATTGGCTGCTTTTTAAATATCCAATCCAGAGTTACTTAAATATCCATATAGCATTCAAACAATGAATATCATATCCAGATGTGTGCAAACCTTAACATACACTAAACGCCCAACTATTGAAGCACGAGAAAATTTTTTGTAGTTCCTTTTCTTTAATTTTATTCTTGATGCATTGATTGAGACTCGACTTGTTTCCCTTAGTAGTAGAGGTATCATTTAGTTTACACCATCGAATCTCTCTCCTCTCACTGTGTGTGTGTGTGTGTGTTATTGGATATTAAGTTACTCCATAAATGAATATTTTTTATAATGGTATGTATAAAAGAATCAGGGAATTTGATGTGAGACTTCACTATGTATGGATATTGTTATTATTTCAAAGACATATACCTGCAGAAAATACATGTTAGTTGTAAACCCAATAACTAAAAGTATTTTGACAACTATTGTCTTTTTTTTTTCTTTTTTTCTTTTTTTATGACGGGGAACTCGAGGCCGCTACCCTTCGAGTGTGCACTGGGTAAACCCTCGGGTTGACGAAATAGTTTACAAATCATGATAGTCAGGTAAACCGCACTAAACACGCCCGGTGTGATAGGCTCGATCGAAAAAGTGTTGGTAGAAGGAATCAAACTCGTGACCAAAGATCTCCATGCTCACAAACTATCATATTTTATAGTAGGCAAAGAGATGGTTCAACTTGGACGATCAATAAAACTATTCATTGTAAAATTGAATTATGCATGTAATGAGAAAGAATTTCTTTTTTTCAACCACTATAGTCCGCAGGTTTTGTTAGTAACAGAACAGAGAAAAAACACAATACATACAAGGACGAAGGCTTGGTCTAACTTCCAGCTGAAGCTACAAAAGAATAAGTGAAATGTTTTAACATCTATGTAGGTAGTAATTAATTATATCACAAATTAATCACTTTCTTCAGGCAAAATAATCAATTACAAAATCAATATGTGAACTTTTTAACATTATTTCACGGTCAGTGAGGTTGCCGTAACCTTAAAGCTACATAAGCCAAAACCCTATATCCCACCAACATTACAATCAAAGCAGCCATATCCACCACCATACTATCAATACCAAGATACTTTATGGCCGGAAAATCTTGAACTCTGCATTCTTTACCTCCCCATCCACATTCATAAACCTCATTTTTGGAGTACTGCACAGCCACAAGAAACTTATAACAGTAGTGGGAAAAAGAAAAGTATTTTAAACAGTTAATGTAAGGTGGCATATGTTGAACGTAATATCCACTAGCAAGTAAAAACACCAGAATCATGACAGAAGATAAGGTTGCCGCCTGCTTTACGTCCATTAAAACTGCTCCGAGAGCAAGGCCGAGGCCCTGAGAAACTAAAACGTTGAGGAGAACTATGGAAAGGGTTAGCAGGAAAGTTATAAGGGATGGTTTAAGGCCGCTCATCCAGTATGTAATTGTAGTGAATATGATGGGAAGTACGAGCTCCATTGGCAAGTCACCTGCAATTCTTGCCAAGTAATAGGACGAGAGACGATACATGCCTGAGGAGAGTTCTCTCGTGAGCATTGGCCTTTCTTGCGGGAAGGTGAATACGGCATTGAAGAGAGGGAAGAAACCCCAGAATATTGAGAAGAAAAAGAGCAATCCCACCTGTCCAACAAACATTTTGGTTTAGCTCAAGTCTCGTCCTCGTCATTTATAAAAAGAAATATTCACCGGTCATGTGCTTTATTAAAAATGAATTTCACGTCTGTGTTAGGGAGCACGTTGGGAATAAAATGTAAAATTATATTGCATCTCTAATAACTTAAACATTTAAATGGAAGAGTTCAACATGTTATTCAAGCATACAAAAATGTTACGTTTTATAATTTTCTTCTTCAATTTATGAAAATAATGCATGCGTGGGGCATTGAAAATTAAATTTAAATAAATAAATATATTTCATTTTTCAAAACTTAAACCTCAGATGAGGTGATTTTAATGGTTAAACTTCTAAAAAAGACACATCAACATTATATATTGGCCATTTCAAATTACCAACAACACAAGACCCAATTGTTAGTCAATATTGTTTAGCTTTTAATTTCATTGACTAATTATTCTCAATAAAAATGTTCGTAATTTCCATGACATTTTCAAATTTTCTATGATTAATTCCATAATTGTTTGATAGCTAATGCACTTTTTTTTTCTTTTTTTTTTTTTGACCAACAAAATAATAGGAAGAAATCCTCCGAAAGATGGCTTAAATTGGCAAAATTTGTGCTGTTGTATAATTACCTGATCTTGTATATGATTAGTGTCTGAATGCCACCATAAAAGTCCAGAAACAATTGAAACAGACAACACTTGGAAAATTCTTAGGCCTGAAAATGACTCATGTCTCCTTTCCTTAAGCCCTCTGCTCAACAACACCTTAAATTGCAACCACCAACTATTTGTCCATTGATTTTCAGAACCTGATAATAATCATACGAAAACAATTTTAAACTTAACCCATAAAAAAAGAAGAAAGTATATAATCATTTTATGCAGCTTTATGCAAGCACAAGAGTCACTTTAAAATTTAAAAAAAATGGAATGAAGATTTTGATGTATACTTCTTGATGGTAATGATTTTCCAGGATGTATTTCATCTTGAGATGCTCTTTGAATTTCTTCTTTAAGAATTGGAAGCAGGTTCTTTTTGTAAGAGGATATAAGGAATTGTTTTGTTGCATTATGCTCATTTTGGCTTCCATGAAACTCCATTTGATCATCCTGCCTTGCCTCAGGATTAACACCTGTTAATGCAAAATTTCACGTCATTTAACTATGAAAGAGTTAAAACTTTTAAGATAGAATCTCGAGACATAATAACACTTGGATATTTCAATCATTTTTTAGAGTTCAAAACATAGATATATTATATATGCATTTGTATATTGTCAATATCCGAAGATGTATTCAAAAATAAAAATACATATAAGTCTGACGCAAAGTACTTTTTATTAATTAGATAAATGGAACAATATCCGACATACTGCGACAGAGAAAAGTAAAAGTTCAGCTAAAAGTTGGAAACTTTAATTAGTCAAAGCTCGAAAAAGGATGAGGGCAGAAGAAAAGTATTTCAACTTACTTTTGACTAATTAAGTAGATACGTGTGTGATGCGTATAGGTTATTAATTTTTTTATTTTTATTTTTTTGTTTTTATTTTTTTGCTTTAATATGGATTCAGCTTTTGAGGGACCATGTTAAGTTATTTAAAATCTTAAGAAGCAATCTGGGATGGGTAGGATAGCGAGGGTGGTTAAGGTAAGAACATGATTATTATTACTTCTATATTATTGTGTGCAGATTAATATACAGATCGATAATGTGAATTATATTAACCGAATTCACTATAATATACAAATAACTTTACTCATATTACCAACACAACTTTATTTGAAAGGACCAAATATTGGCATTAGCAGAAGAATAGATAAGATATTTACATTTCAAATGTCCAATTATGTAGAATATATTCTATTTAATTACTATAAAATCTTAATCTTTTTTAGCTGGCAAGAATAAGAATTTTAGAATAAGCTCTTACAAATATTATGAACAACTAAAATATATTTTTTCTTAAAGCAATCTATCTGTCTAGACAGGAGTTTTTAGCCGCACTTAACAGTATGCAGTGAAAATGTAGTTAATTTCTTTAGAGTATTAACAACAATAGGCATTAAGAAGAATATTTCATACCATTAGCAAGATCCAGAAGAAAATCTGCAGGATTCATGAAATGAAAACCGGGCTTGTAACCAATGGAAGCAAAATAGTCCATCACTTTATTGGCACTGCCACTGTAAATTGGACATCCTTCTGATAATACTAATATCTTATCAAACATCATGTACAAACTACTAGACGGCTGGTGAATGGTCGTTATAACCGTCCGACCACTGCAGGCCAGCTTCCTGAGTGTGGCCATAATCCTCTGTGCCGTGGTGGAGTCCAGGCCGGAGGTGGGCTCATCCAACAACAAAAGACTTGGGTTCACTAGCATTTCTTGCCCAATACTGACCCTTTTTCTCTCCCCACCTGATATTCCCCTAAATAGAGGCCCACCAATCATGCTATTTCTACAAGTTGTTAATCCTAGCTCCATGATAGTTAATTCAGCATGTTCAATTTTCTCTTGTCTAGTGAGCTTATTTGGTAGTCTCAACAAAGAAGCATATGTTAGGGTTTCAAGAACCGTCAGGTGGGGATATAGCACATCATCTTGTGTAACGAACCCGGTTTTGCGCTTGGTTGAGCTTGAAAAAGGGTGTCCATTGTAGGTAATCGAACCGGAGATCTTTCCTGGTAACCGACTGGATAGTGCTGTTAGAAGAGTGGTTTTGCCACTCCCTGATGGGCCGAGCATGGCCAGAAGTTCACCAGGTCTAACAACACCACTAACACCATCGAGTATATTACGTTTTACCTTGGGTTGAGGTGAAGAAAAACAGTTTCCTCTATTTTCTCGTAACTCAATTGCGTATGATACATCTTCAAACTGCATAAAAAGTTATAACAAAATTACGAACACAAATGAAAGGCCAAGATATGGTTATTTGAACGAATGTTCTGAGTTTAATTTTAGCCATTTAATGAAATAGCCATCACCTCTCTAACAACTTAACTTTTAGACAAGAATGGTTCGAAATTGTCCATTTTAATAAAATTATGTGCTAAAGACATAATTTAAATCAATAAACAGGTCTCTTCTCAATAGTTTAATCTTTTAGGTGAGATGGATGACAATGACACTGGACTATTACATACCTTAAGAGTGATAGGCCGTAATGATTCGCGTAAAACAGAAATTCTAACGGTATTAGCATGATTTTGTTCTTGTATTTGATCAACTGGACTTGAGCTTACATTGCCGGTTGAGCCAGGTGGCTCGACCGGCAGAGAAATATTATGGGTTCTATTACGGACTAAAGCATTAGCTGCAACTCCATTGATATCTTGCTCAAAAGGCATAATTTAATTTGAGAAAAAAGAAACACAAACAGTACTACAGTAGAAGGAATAAGAGGAAATGCTCTTGTTGTTTGGGAGAATTAATGGTTGGCTCACATGCAGAGAAAGGATTTCAAAGGAGAATGCATGAGAAATGGATTGGGCAATGGCACATGATATATAGCTGCAAGAATTCTACGAGGGAATGTGCCGGGAGAGAACTGTATCTGTAGTGTTAGCTAGGGTATGCGTTTAGAATTGTTAATTGCACAATATCCTTTTTGACTTCTTTGTTAAAAATATGAGATATGCCTTTCCAAGTTTCTTTTTGAATAAAAGAAATGATTTTAATGTTCACTTTGTTTTTTTCTTTACCACGTGTTGCCACAAATTTATTATTTAAAAAAAGAAGGAATAACTCAAAAAAAAAAAAAAATGGCTTCTTATTTTTTTTTTTATAAAAAAAAAAAAAAAACAAAAAAAAAAAAAAAAAAAAAAAAAAGGCTTCAATTTGTCCATCCCATTTTTTAAATTTCATCTTCCTCAAACTAATTTTAAACAATACATTTTGTAGGATTCACAAATTTATCAACTTTTTAACTGCACGATTGGACAACTTTCATCAAAATTTACTAAAAATCGAATTTTTATTCAAACCAAATAGGGGCTTAATTATGAATCACGACATACTAACAAAAAGTTTAAAAAATTCATTACATACTTTCATACTACACCAAAAACCACAATATTATTGATGTTTTGATGAAATAAATGATTATATGTAAATTTCTTATCAATTATTAAACTTTCACACGATATAATTAACATGATACTGGAGCTAGCTAAAAGATCTAATTTCAAATTCTACCATCATCTTTTATAAAAATTGTATTACACGTCAGATTTTTCTCAAATATTGAGTTTGATCCGCAAGTGAGGAGTTTGTTTAGATTAGATTTAAACAAATATATATGACACATTTTTTACTGTTTAAATTTTTGGATGAGCTTGTTTAAATGGTCAAATATTTGATTCAGGTTACTACTGATACTATGCATATTACCTCACGTTGACATGCACTTTAGAAGCTTAATTTACAAAGAATACTTGTTTGATTTTGTTGCAAACAATGGACATTAAGTTACTCAATTTTCATTTGTATTCAAGCTATACATGAATTATGCAAACAAAAAGCCATTTTAATCCCAAAATATGGGAGCAAATCTTTGCTTCATTCCGCTAATTAATAAATCAGTTTATTTATTTCTTTATTTTGCATTGTTTTGAGAGAATTTTGCAAACTGCATCCTCAATTTGAAGTTACCTAGCACAACTCTAAGGGTGTTATCTTAGTAGTTCATTATATAACATTGCGTTCAAACAAAGACATGGAGCACAAAGAAATTTTGAGAGTTATGATAATAGCTTTGAACTCATATTTTTCATGGTCGAGAGCTTCTAATCACGTTCTTACTTTTTATCCCTACTCCAACATCACCCAACAAAAAGGTATAAAAAATGAACATTATATACATGAAATATAATTATGATCTAAATTGCCCAAAACAAAAGAGTGAAATACAACACAATGTGAAAAGTAGAGAAGCATTACGAAAAAAGAAAAAGAAAAAAACACACATACACGCACAAAAATATAGTGAAGAAAAATGTAACTTCAAATTTATAATAATATATTTGATTCAATATTTAATTTTAAAAAGCTAGTACTAATTAAAATTGAAAATAACGGTAGAACGTGAAAGCCTTTCATGTATTGTAATTTCAAGAAAAACTATTAAACGTGGTTTAAAGATTAAAAACTAACAAGATATTCGAACTATAGTTTTATCAACAGTATCATTGACAAAAAATCATAATTATTTGTTAATTTAATTGGTGAAATGGAAAAAAAATAAAAATTAAGTCCATTGTTAAGTATATTCCATTAACATCTACAGTAAAGCCTAGTTTTTATATTCTAACTTTTCTTTAACATTTGTAAAGCTTCCTTCAACTTTTTGGATTGTATATTTTAAAAGAACTTTTCTTAAATAAATTTAAACATTTTCAGAATATCAAATTTGTGTTCAAATTGAAAACGTTAACTCTACATCTCAACAACATTTTATTAAAACTTTTTAAGAACTTCAATTTTCAAAACGTGTTCAAATTGAAAACATTAACTCTTTTGCATTATGATAATCAGTCAGCTATTAGCTACAAATTCATAGAATCGAACAACCATCTCGATGCTCTCTCTTCATCCCGTGACAGATATTGTATATATGGTATATCTTCTTTTCTGGCAAAATCTAAAGAAATTAAAGAAAGTAGAAGTGCCTTTTTATGTGTCAAATTCTCATTCCATATCAAAGTATAGTGGTGGAGAGCTTGTCGTGTAAATTCTGTGTATCCTATTTAAGAATTGGTGGTGTCAAATTCAGAAGAAAAGGTGTTCATCAGGATAACTGTTGGTTGGTGTTTGTGGACGCGTCTCTAAATAATGCATCTTTGGTTTTTTTTTTCTTACTTGAAAATAAAATGTTTTATTTTATGCAATACTCATGCATTAATGTCTAATCAATACATTTTTCCCCCTTGTTTGAGCCACATTATTTTTATAAAAATTCATTTTTGAATTGTGTAATATTGATGAAAAATGTGTGGTTAAAAAATTAAAAAAAATTTTAGATTTACGTGTAATATTATTTTATTTAAAAATGTGTAGTTGAAATGATATCAAATCACCATTTAAAAATGTGTGTATCTATATATATATACACACACGCATCAAATAGGGCCTTTATGTTTATATTGTTTATAGTTTATTCCTTTTTTGGACGTTTGGAACTCCCTCTCTCATATAAGCATATTTTCACATTTGAGTAGAGAGGTCTAACAAATTGATGAATCTTTCTTGAGGTAACCTGCGACTTACACAAGACTAATTTTACCCTGTCATAACATAAACCAATTTAGGAAGGTGTCAAATCACATGACACCGGTCCTTACATGTTGGCACTCCTAGAAGAGAAGGCTCGAACCATACTAGGAACATAGCCCTTTAATTAACCTTTCTTCTCTTTATTTATTTTGAAAAAATAGAGAAAAGTAAAATATGCATTTGAATTTGGAAATTTACTCACCCTTAATTAGAGGTTATTGATATCCAAGAGTTACAGTCAGCCTTTTTTTAAATTAGTAGTATCGTCTTGGCAAGACCGAAATTTACGGTGAGTTGGTTCATGACACGGTCGTACCATCGATTGAAATTAAGCTAACCAGGTCTATTTTTCATGTCTATTTTAAGGATTAAAAAATAAAGATGCATGTGATTTTCACTTCCCTATTTTCATAAATAAAATAAAAGAGTTGTGAATATTAATAACAGAGTATTAATCAAAATATCAAGTCGATTTTGACATTTTAAAAATCAAATGATAGAAAAATAGTGAGACTCGCATTCTTCAAAATGATTAGTATAATCTATAACGAGATTTAATTTGATTTGACACATCACAATATATTCATAATTTGGGCAATACTCATTGTGTTGCGTTGCATGTTCAAGTGACAATGCTTTATTTTGAAGCTTTTCTATCTTTACAATTTTCTAATCCTTACTTTTCTAACTTTTTAGTAGGATCAGAATACTTTTACGTGATGAATGTGTTGAAATATAATTTAAATAAATAGGTTGGATTAAATATTTGAAAGGCTAAACTAGATTGAATCAAGATAAAATTTGGACCAAAGAAATTTTCTTTTCACCTTCATAAAATTAACCCACATAACATATCAAATGCCTCGATATAATTATTTAACATGATACCACAATAACCAAAAGTTTGTACGAAAATTTATCAAACTAAAGTGTATACAAAAAGTAAATACTTTAGTATATGATGCTTGATTCTTGGAAATAAATTGAAATGAATGAATAGAAATGATTAGAAAATTAATCTCTACTCTCTTTAATTCAAGAAATGGAATTCTTTATGAAGAAAAAAGCGTAGACCTTTTGAAAATTGCATTAATATATATGAATTATTTATTAAACATTTGGTCGTTACGCCGAATATTATGTGCCAAGTCTAGGAAGCTTGATATCATTACGATATCAAAATAAAAAATAATAATAATAATTGATAGCGCAATTATAATTGAATATTGAATCAAGATAAAATTTGGACCAAAGAAATTTTCTTTTCACCTTCATAAAATTAACCCACATAACATATCAAATGCCTCGATATAATTATTTAACATGATACCACAATAACCAAAAGTTTGTACGAAAATTTATCAAACTAAAGTGTATACAAAAAGTAAATACTTTAGTATATGATGCTTGATTCTTGGAAATAAATTGAAATGAATGAATAGAAATGATTAGAAAATTAATCTCTACTCTCTTTAATGCAAGAAATGGAATTCTTTATGAAGAAAAAAGCGTAGTCCTTGTGGAAATGGCATTAATATATATGAATTATTTATTAAACATTTGGTCGTTACGCCGAATATTATGTGCCAAGTCTAGGAAGCTTGATATCATTACGATATCAAAATAAAAAATAATAATAATAATTGATAGCGCAATTATAATTGAATATAAATTGTGGAAAAAATGGACTAGGGGTCATTTATATTGATGATTTTTATGAGAAAGCAACTAGATTTTGGTAAAACACGTTAGAAGTTGAGAAAGTTGATAAATGTTTGTATTCTCATTAAAGATGCGGCAAAATTTTATGCCCGTATTTATTTGTTATTTCTTAAGATATGCCACTAGTTCATTACTTATAATTAAAGAAGAGAAAGTTTTATTGCCCAAGTTATTTTACTTGTATGCATGACTCTAGACCACAATTAACCACAATTAAATACTGGAAAAGTCATAGCATGCTAAAGAACATTACAAAACCAGAGATAAAGACATCAATTATCACCTTAACAAAGCATGTTTGAACCCCATTTTTACTGAAGAATGTATTTTAAAATAGTAGATTGATTAAAAATATGAGATTAAAAAAAAAGTTTTAAAGTTGTATATAATATTATTTTATTGAAGAATATGCGGTTTATAGAAAGAGAGAGAAAAATGTATTTTGAAAATAATGAGAATCAAAAAAGGAAAAATAAATGGAAGAAGTTGTTAATTTGTACACATGATTCTCGACAACAAATAAATAAGAGAAAATTTTAAAAT